GTGTGAATGTTGTCCAAACTGCATGAAATTGCTTAAAATGCAATCAAATGTTTTAAATAAAATTTTCGGGGGGGGGCATGCCCCCAGACCCCCCTAGACCTTTCCTCTTTTTTCGGGAAAACCTGCTCACATCCCTGATAAAAAGGGTAAAAAACCTGTACATGTCAGCACTGGAGTGATGGTGATAAGACCTTTGAGTAGGCGTAGAAACCACTGATTTCAAACACGTGTTTTTTTCCGGAAGTATGAAAAAAAAAGGTAAGAAAAGATAACTCTAATTGACTTAGATAGAAAGAGAAGCGTCCGTAAAATATTGGCTCGTAGGGGCAAGACAATGATTATATGAGTCAGTATGCGATACCTTCACTTGAACTACCTTATTATTTGCTGATAATCATGAAAGGATGTCTTTAGATCTATTCTAACTCATCATTTGTCTCCAATTCTGAGAGTGACATCACTTCCGGTTTATCAACTTCCGGATATGACGTTACTTCCAGTTCTAATGACGTCAGTTCCTCTTGACTGGTTTTGATGTCATTCCTAGAACCTCTGACGACACTTCCGGTTATGACAGCACTTCAGGTCTATATTCCTTCCAATTGTGACGTCACTTCACGTAGATTTGTTTATCAGCTATTCTAATACAGGTAGCCCTTGAATTCCTTACGTACCATACTAGTAAGTGATGTCAGATCCTCCCCCCCACCTTTTTTTTTTCTCATAGAAAAGAGGAAAAACTAGGGGCGTACAATCGTCTGGACTGCAACAATAGGGGACTGGGCTGTCATAGACTGGAAGTTGATGGCTGAGACAGGTCACAAGAGGCCCAGATGCAGGGTGTCACAAATGGAGGTTATCCAGGTAAAAACGTCTGGGTGAAGAGTCCACCCCGTCCACCCCGTGGGCTCAATCCTCTCTCTGTTAGTATATTCAGTTTGCCTGGAATATGTCTCACTTCCATTCGGCAGCTGAATGAGTCGGCCAAGGCAAATAGCTGAGTAGTTTCCATCATCAGCGAACTGGACTTGGTTCCGCCTTGCTTCTGAATGTAGGCCACCACTGTCGTGTTGTCTGTTGCAGTGATGGATGACTTGATGAGGAGATCTTTCATAGTCTGGAAAGCATAATTTCTCTGCAGTTTGTGTGTAGAGCTGTTTCTGTCTCGGTTCATAAACCCTGAACTTGGAGGTCATCCATGTGAGCTCCACAACCTGAATCCGACATGTCCGTGAACAGGTGGTGTTTGGGAGCTGGTAGTGTGAAAAGAATCCCCGTCATTACATGATTTCGTCGAGTCCAATAGATTGGATCCTGGCTCAGGTGGAGAGGTATGCGTACCCGTGTATCCAGGGTCTGAGATCGTATGGAGTTGATCCAATTCTGTAGCGGTCATAATTGTAATCGTCCTCTGTGAGTCATATCTTGTAGAGAGGACAGCGTTCCCATGAGTGACATCCACTATCTGATCGATCTGGTAGGTTGGTCTCGGCTATGGACTTGTTGAACTGGTCCTCCGGGGGGCAAAGATGTCAGGTACGCAGAAGGAATCTGGCCCCGATGTAGACTATGTCTTGTGCCGGATAAATCACTGACTTGGTCGAATGGATAAGGAACCCTAGATAAGATATGAGTTGGATTAGGAATGGTGAATAACCAAGGGGCTACTGATATGCCGAACGGTTGGACCCGGAACTCGTATGGATGGCTGTTTACAGCGAAACGGAGGTACTTTCGTGACATGCGGTGGATTGGCACATTGAGATGTGCATCCTTAAAGTCGAGGCTGATGACCCAATCTTCTGTGTCGAGTGATGAACTGATTCCATCTGAAATCTTGGAGGCGGGACCAAGTACTTATTGTTGAGAGTTTTGAGATCTATTATCATTCTCATCTCTCTGGAATTCTTTTTTGGTTCTATAAACACCGGGGAGTACAACCCCTGAGTTTGGTTGGTATCCTGCAATCTCCGAATGGCCCGTTTGGTGAGGAGGGTCTTGATGGCAAGATCGGCTGCATCCAGTTGGGCACCTTTCAGGTGAAACCTGTGTCCCTCCGGATGGGATGCAAGTCGAGGGCCATTGAGGAAATGTAGCTTGTACCCGTGATGGATAACATCTAAAATTCAGTGGTCGGTCGTAATGTGCATCCAATTTTCGGCGTATGACAAAGACACCCTCCCAGTGGACCCTGAGACGCCATTCTGTCCTGTCTTGTAATCTGTAGACAACCCAGTTCGGTGGGATCTGCAACGCTTGGATGGGAGAGAAAAAAATCATCTTCTATCCCCGTGACCTGCGGGCTTGAAACCTCTACAGCCAGATCCGTGGTGTTTGGAGTCTGGGTTCCAAAAAGAGCCTCTTGATGACCTGTCATGACGCTGGGATGCCTGGTAGGATTCTTGTGCTCGTTTAGGCGGTTACTGCAGTCCCTGTGCCTTGACTGTCAGGTTGATGGTAGACACTTGAAACCTTTCTGTCGTGTCCTGTCTGACCTTGTCTAGGATCGTGCCCAACTTTTCAAAGACCGTCGGTGATGTGACTGGCTGTGACATGAACGTCTGCTTGGCATGTTTGGGGACAGTCCTCGATCTGACTTGGGACAGGAGTTGTTGACGTTGAAGCCATAGGAGCTGGGAGGCAGTCCAGACCTACGTAGATAGCATATCCTCCTGCATGCAGACAACACATCAAGCAGGCTGTAGATGAGTCCCACATCAGAGTTTCTGGCGGGACATCATCAAAAGTCATAGGTAGAGGTGCCATCGTGTGTCGGATCCCGTTGATGAACCAGTTGAGATATGTGCCAATATCCATGGAGTACTTGTTAACCGTAGTTAAGTCCTTAACTCAGCTGGCTGGGAGCATGAATTTGGTGTTAGGGTCTTAACCGGCTTGCTGAACTCGTCATCCAGTGGCTGTGACTCCGGGGAACGGCGATGCATGCGTCTGATACAGCTTCTTCCTCATAATCAGGAGTGGAAGCCGATTATCATGATGGAGCTTCTGCATGATGTCTCTCATTTGGTCTTGGATCCTGGAGGTGTAACTTGGCCTCGGTAAAATATGGTAGATGTGGTATGACGAAGATGGAGCCATGCTTCTGGCGTAGTCGGACATCTCCGGAGGAGGCGACTGTTCATTCCGTGGCTGTGCGGTCGGCATGTAGTGATATATAGCATCTATCGTCTACAAGGACAACCCCGGTCCATACTCCTGCGGAGGTGATGTGGCCGGTTGATCAGGGGCCTCTCCTTCGCCTGACTCTGGTGCCGACGGTTCCATGGGCTCATAAGCAAAATCGTTCTCGTCCGATGGAGTCCATGATTCCAGTATAATCTGCCTATGTGATGGCTGAGGCTCTGGTATAACGGGATCGGGATGGCTGGCCTGGTGATGAGAAGGCTGCGCTCTCTCATCGGGCTCTCCGTGGTCCGTGCGGGAGCCGTTCAGTTTCTGTGGCGGCTCAGCTGGTCGGCTCGTGGGTAAGGCGTTCTTGCTACTACCCTGGTCGTCTCAAGATCTGGGAGTGCTGGACTTCATTGATGACCTAGGCTTGGTGACTAGTTGTGTGTAGTTGACAATGAAGAGGACTTCTGTTGAAAATCTGAAGATTTGGTAATAGTGTGTCTGCAGCCAAAATACAGGATTTGTGGCTGTAATGTAATGGAGGTTAAGGATTCGCAGGAATTATGTTATTTCTTGTCACAAGAAGGTCATCAAGCTTCAAGATCATTACATATAACTGGTGTAATGTAAGTCTAAGGGTTAATGGATCCAAGTTTTTCAGCTTAATTGTTGGGGAAATGCTTTTATGGGCAATAAAAATGAAAGTACTTGAAAGTGCAAAATTTGAAAAGCACAACAGTTCATCTAATTATTTTGCATGCAGTGGGGAGAAATAGCAAAAATTAGGTTTCTTATATGGTTTCCATGGAAACCAAACTTGACTTCAAAAGTAAATGTTTTGAGCAACGTCAGAAGAGTCTGTCTTCAGGATGACCCTTGAAGGATTTCACCATCCTACGCCTTGTGATATACAAGAGATGATTGATGAGTTATGTAATAGTGAGTCAGTTGAGCAAATTGTTTCTCTATGACAAGTCAGTAAAATAAAGCAAGGTCTGTGACTGAAAAATGGACAAAGTTAAGGAACGGGAAGTGATCACATACTTGCTAAATTTTTGTTTGGCTGTTTCAGGTGACCCTAGGTTTTTATCACAAATCATTGCAAGAACCTTTCTGGATCAGAGCTAGATTATCAAGATGGGGATCATCTTCATGGCTCTTCCTGTCACTCTTAAACTCTGCTGCCAACTTCTACTGGCATAGGAAGCGGCACCCTTCCCTAATGTTGTACTCAAACCTTTATGGATGGCTTTTGGTGTTAAGCCCTTTTTCTGCAAGTACTTGATCGCTGCACATTCAACTTTGTCAATTTTCCACAGATCCCTGCTTATTTTACTGACTTGTCACAGCAAAACTATTTGCTCATTTGTCTCAAGTTTTTGTGGATATACTGCTATTATGTCATGTAATGTTGACAAGAAAAGATTTCGCTCTTTAGCATTTCCTTCTATGTGAGCCTAAGAACTAATGAAGTTACATTGAAAAAAGACTTTGTAGGCCATTGCTTATCCTTTTCTACTCAGATTGTAATGTGATGAATTGCCCTCAATTTCTCTCCAAATGCATTTTTTGGCTCTGTAAACATCTTTTCTGAAATTGGCAGACATTGAATAGCACATTAATCCTTGCAGGTTTGGATACGTGGAAATTTATATGCTTGTTTCATGTTTGTTAATAGTTTTGGCCTCAATATTTATACAGAGAATATTTGAATAGCAATGCTGACAGCAGTGTTGTCTTTGTAATATTTAAACTGTTGAGTACATAGCCAGGTGAGCTACAGTGCCGTGGCACTATTTTTCACCATTTTCACTCCACACACTCATCTCATTAACTTCCAACTTAACATTTGCTATGTTTATTTTTTTAAGTGGAGATGTACGTGGGAAGCTGTCCTTAAGTGAAGTGATTAACTCCCTTTTGCAATTCACTGCACTTGTTCACTTGACTACAGGTAAGTAAGTCTTTATTTTTGCTATGCGTCAACATCTGCATCCAACAATGACTATTACTGATGATGTTGCAAAAGTGGAATATTTTGTATTCCAGAAATTGCTTTGCCAAATATATTGATTCTTTTCACATAATTTTTTTCCACCTCAAATTTGTTCTTTAATGTTTCAATAATATTACATTGAGATCAAACTGCCAACATAAAGTCACACTTTAATCACTTGCTAGCTGAAGATTTACAAATACCGTGATATTGTAACTGGGTGTGATTCTTTATTGCTGTTGAAGATATAATGACACCGTGTTATAGGCAAAACAATAACATTATTGAAACATAGTATACCTGTTTCATTAATGAACATATTCATACATGAACATCAATGAATGAAATCATTGTCGTTTTCCTTATGCAAGTAAATCAACAATTCTGCAGGGCGACAACACGATCCCTATATATATCGATATGTATATACAAGACATGACAAACATTATCCCTAACCTGATGGTGGTACTGGGGTGGTAACATTGATGAAGGTGCACAGTTTGAACAAGCCAATGAAAACAAGGCTTGGGTAAGAACAAAGAGAAGAAACAATGACATTAACATGGACTAACCCAACAGCCCTTTACTTATTAAGTAAACTAATCCAGAAGCCCACAATAGATATTAAACAAAGAAACTACTTTACTCACAACTTAAAACAATACTAAAGAACATGAAAACATATCAACAACAAAACTGTATAATAACACTTGTGTTTGCCACAGTATTCAGTTAATTTTGATTTCCCAATGTGCAACAGTGCTTGGTGTTATTTCTCGGAGCTCACTTGAGGCCATGGTGTTTCTCACTATAAGGGGCTTCAAGTTTGTTCTAGTCATCAACAAGGGATTGTCGGTATGATCTTTGATTTAAACGACTACAAAAATCTTCTTCAAAGCTTACATGACTTAAATGAGCCAGAAGCCTGAAACTTGGTGGATGAGATGGTCACCATATAGTTACAAGTTTGTTTGAGGCATCTTGTTTGGAAACTAAATAAGGCTACCAATGATATTGGGAAATATATAAAAAAATTAGCTTTCAATTTGTCTATTTTCCACATATTGTTGTGTGCATACAATACAGTAGGGTACAAGGGTCTTATGATCAGCGATGAAAGAAATTTGCATCAACTACATGTAAAAATACTTCATAGGCAACATCTTCTTTCAAGTCCTTTTTGTCAGTTTTCCTATTTCCCTCTTTTAGAAGTGTCTGCATTTGACTTTTGTAATTAGCCAATTGGCCACCATGACAACCATATTGAAAAATCTATAATTCTTGCGAATACTCTACCTCTATAACCTCATTGCCATATTCCTGTATTTTGGCTGCAATCACACTACAACTGAATCTTCAGATTTTCAGTAGAAGCCCTCTTCACTGTCAACTATACATAACTGGTCCTGACAATATCACCGAGCATCTTACAACTCTTCCGTGTGCAAAGAGGGAAAATCCTCACATCTTTCATAAAATCTGCCAACAAGGGTAGATGATTGGGGATGTGGGAAGGAGTACTTCTGATGTTAACTTTTTTTAACAATGATAACTATTGTTTTGATCATTTTTGTGACTACTCTACCTCTATTACATCATTGCCAGATTGTACCGAAGGGTAGGCGGGCATTGCCTTAAGTTGACTCCCAGTATAGTTGACAGTAGATCCTAGATCCCTTGCGATTCCATCCTCTAATAGTTGTTTCAAATCCTAATAGGAATAACTTACATATTTTTGGGAGTATGGTCCACACTTTTTAAAAAAAATATGAGGTAGTGTAGAGGCGGGTGCGCATAAATACACGCCACCATAAGATTTCAAATATTTCCCCCCCCATGAGTAAGCAATACACTCAGCATGTATCCTGGAAATCTAGTGTCAGCAAACAGATGAAAATACTAGTACATTTGTTTGTCCTTTTTAAATATTTCAAATATGAACATTATTACATTAAATGAACAGGGAGTACTGTTATATGCATTGTTGCATACAGATATTTATTCCTATCACTTATATGGGTGAAATAATAGTCATTCAAACATGAAGATTCAATCTACAGTTTCATCTTTAAGCAGATAACACACAGGTGTACATGGCAACGATAGAAACTACGGTAACTTATAGTCCACTTGTCCTTATAATGATATCATATAGCAAAACCCTTAATGATGGCAAATTTCTACTTTTCCTTATGATACCTTAACAAATGGGCAGTTTGGCAAGGACTATAGGACTAGTGCCAATTTCTAACGCTGCATGGCATTCAACAGAACATCAGCAGAACATTCTTTTGCAACTGTCTCATAGTGTGTTGCTCATATCAGAGAATGGATGGCCACTTACTATTTAAAACTCCATGACTAGAGTTTTTAGTCTTCTGTTCCAAATGGAGACCACCATTTAAAATGGTCAACAGTGACAAGCACAAAGGCATGCAATCTTGGGGTTATACAGGACTCAATGGACACATCGGTATCGTCTACAAACTAGCATACTACAATATCAGAAATATTGGCCTTATCAGGAAGCACATCAATCCATGCATGGCTGCATCTCTCATTCAGGCTTTGGTTATATATCAGAGACCCCCAGATAACTTTCAATGTTTCTTCTTTGAAAAAGAATGTTTTCATCCCTGTATTAAGGTAGCTACAGTTAGGGGCATTCAGAAGCGCGTGGGGATTGCGCTGCTTCTGATTTTGCATGTAGTGCAAAACCTTTGTTTTTAACTTATCCTGCATTACTCCTTAATGCATTTACTGCTTGTTCTTGACAGGGAAAGAGCTGTGTGAGGTCTTGCTGAAGAAGAAGTTGTTCCAACTGGTTGCGTGGCTAACCCTATCACACAGCTCCCATGTGGCCACAAAAGGGGTGACGTCAATGATCAGCACATTACTGCTATGAATATAAATAGTCACCTGTTTGAGCTCTCAGCTTTAATCCATTTGAATCCTTTGCGCAACACTGTTATTTATTGTGATTGTTATTGTGCTTATGGTTTTTGTCTTCATATATTTCATGATTTATGCTATAGCATTAATATTTAAATGCCTGGTGGTAGTGTTTACCACGGTAAATATCAGGTGTATTGTTGTTCCAATTAGCCATTTTGAATTCATTGTATGGTCACATATTTTTGTGTCATGCGTTCTGTATTCTTTGTATTGCTTGGTACTTCAATTCATTGTTGTACCCTTGCGATATTACTGTTATTAAACTGGTGGTGTTTTGCAATCTTTGTGTAAACTTATTCATAAACCCACATGGCTGGGAAAAAATGATCATAGCATATATAATTGAGTGGAATGCATTTTGACTACACTCTGCTATCATTGCAGATACATGCCAAGTTGAAGCAAGTGTTACAGCAATAAGACTGGGTGGGACTCTCATCCCTTGTGTCTTAGCTGTACCTCTCTGCTCCCAGGTTACGGAGAGATTGTCTGCCACTCTCCCCTACCACTTTCTCAAAAATACCTCCAGGAAGCATTAAAACGGCAGACACAGCAGGCCAGGAAATGTTGTCTCGGTAAGATGACAGAATCATCCCAGCCTACTACACCCCCACCAGCCACAACCATCTCTTCCTCAGGTGGGATACCTCTGGCGTCCATCACTATACCTGTCTCTTCGTCGGGGACCATGTCTACCTCCTCATCACCTGTACAGACCCAGCCTTCCATCGTTGATGTGACACTGACGCCAATGTCCATCCCGTTTCCCCACTTCGTTGATTTACAAGGCTTTCAAGCGCCTCCAGGATTTGGACACTCATCCTTCCTCCTGGTGTATCCCCAGACGCACCAGGCGCCGTACATGGATCCATCATGGATTCACCTTATGCAGTTGATGATGCAGCAAGCAATGCCCCGGTTTCAAGCTCCTCTGGCCTCTGTGACGCCAGACACTCCCAACCAGACAAGATGGTTCCTACAGGGGCGGTTGGGTAGCCTAGTGTTTGAAGTATTCGCTCGTCACGCCGAAGACCCGGGTTCGATTCCCAACATGGGTACAATGTGAAGCCCATTTCTGGTGTCCCCCGCCGTGATATTGCTGGAATATTGCTTAAAGCGGGGTAAAACCATACTCATTCATTCACTCCGACAGAGTGGAAACTCCATCCGGACGCCTTCGATCTTGTCTGCCCACACCTTGGCTACCCTAACATCGCCCTGTTTGCCACCAGCCAGAACTTCCAGGTCCTTTATATGTCTAGCACCATTTCTTGGCTGAATTTCTACAGTTTCTGCGCCACTAACGTCGTCTGAAGGGGAAGCACCATCATGACCCGCCATGTGGCCCTTAACTCTATCTTGGCAATTCTGGGAGATCGAAAGATGACCAAGACTCTTGAACTTCAAGCGTTGCAACGCTGCTATCGTCTGGAAGACCAGAAGGCCAAGTTGAGACCCCTGGCATGGGATCTGAACGTGGTGTTCCGCCGCTGAGAGCTGCACCCTTTGAGCCACACCACTAGGTGTCTTACCACAAGCTCACCAAGGAGTGGAAGGCATCCACAGCTTTGGCCCTTTGGGGGTTGCCCAGCAGGTCACCCCCCCGCCCCCAAGACGCCACTGACGCTTCCACATATCACCTTTCGACCTCTCCTGTGCGTGCTACCCCAGACTAGAATGTTACATGCTACACACTTTGGCTCGGTGCGTCAGTTTTAGACTTTAACTACGTTTAACTTCTATTACTGCAATGATACCTGGACATCACACATACCAATACCTGACTCTCTCCTTTCCTGTGGACAGGAACAGTCACTTGATGCCGGACATTGCTGTTCCTGATTGGTTGGAGTTGATGGAGGCTCTGACTCACATCTTAAGTTATGCCCTCCTCCGTGCCGTGCGATAAAGAAGCATTCAGGAGTAATGCAGGATAAGTTAAAAAAAATCTAGTAAATTTGTGATATATTTTATATTTGTATTCTTATCCTGCATTACTTCATCCTAAGTGGCTCACCCGTCGCCAAGCTGCCTCCCCACCATGTCTTCAAATGCTCTGTTCTCAGCAGTAATGTGCTGATTTATGACGACACCCTTTTCGTGGTCACATTAGAGCTGTGTGATAGGGTTAGCCACTCATCCAGTTGGAACAACTTCTTCTTCAGCAAGACCTCACACAGCTCTCCCTGTGTCAAGACCAAGCAGTAAATGCATAAAGAGTAATGCAGGATAAGTATACAAATATAAAAAATATCTAGATTGTACTGGTTTTCAAACAGAGTAAACAATACACACAGTGATAATACTTCTTTGGCCAAGGACTTCCTCACAGTTTCTTAAACTTAGGAAAATCAGCCCTTTTCACCACAAAAAATCAGATGAACTACAAAGTCTCATGGCTCAATCTCTTTGCATATGATATATAATGTTGGTTTATTCTTTTCTTCTATTTGTCAGATCTTACCAAAGCACAGAGTTTACGAGAGCATTTATTATCAAGCCTCCCATCACATGTGACGTCACAGAGCTTAACAAGTACTGTGCTGCTGCAGATAGTGGCAATTACAGTGTTCACTCTTAGCCATGCACAGAAGAACATAGGGGATCAGGATGGAGAAGACAGTCAATATAGTAGAGAAGAAGAACTTTGTCTAGAACTCATCACAACTTTCACATGTAGGTTACATTTGTGAAATAATAATTAAACAGGACATGTCATGTTAGTTGACCTTGCCCAAAGCTTACCGGTATAAGTCAGGCTTAAAAAAGTCATGACTTGAAAAAATAGTGCGGGCGGGCGGAGGTGTTGTTTTTTTTCTTTTTCAAACGAGTATGTAACCAAATAAGCAGTTGTGTACCATCAACCTGGGAACAGCCTCCCAACAGAAACAAGCATACAAACTCCAATTGCCCCCATGACCATCACACAAGATGGGCAGTAGAGCTGTGTGTATGTAAAGGAAAATGGAAATAAAACTGAAACGTGTGGCTGACGTTATGAAGATGCGGGCGTTGCCTAAAAGAACCAAGACTATTATTTTTTTAGCCTCATCACATAAACCTTTGTTGTATATGCTTTATCTGCATTCAGTGTCATTCATGAATGTTTGCTCAGGAACAGTCAAATGGAATTTACTGAGGCATCACATAGCCTACTTTCTTGTGTATCATATGCAACGCCTTCTGCCACTACATAATTACCGACATGCTTCAGGTAAAGCTTTGCCCGAATAGGTATCTAGACAAGGTTATTTAGACATAAATGTTGTTTCCCATAATGCTAGGCATATTTCCTACAGTGATCAATATTATTGTGAGTAATTTTCTCACACAATAAACAAGAATCAGCAGTCACCCTGACTTTTGTTTGACTTTTGTTTCCATGATCTGCTGGTGAATTATTTTCAATACCCTAGTTAGTTTTTCAAATGAGTTAAATGCAACAATCTGAAGAAATTAAGTCTGGATTGTACCATGACTAAAACTAATATTTCCAACGCATAGCAATTTGAATTGGGTGCTAAACATGAAAAACGTACCAGAAAATTTTACTACAGTTTAGTTTGTGTGCTGTGGAGATATTGTTTGTAAATGATCAGTTGGCTGATTGTTTCTTTGTGTATATCAGTCATAATTACTTCTTTTTATTTCATGCCTTTTTGCCCACAGCCAGTATGGGTATTTATGGTAAATCAATATGTGTCCATGCCTATGTAGTATATGGATGTGTGATCTGTTGCACGCCTTTCATTATGATTGATTGTCAGAGCCAATCACAGAGCTTTCTGATGACCCCATATAGACCTTACATAGACCTAACATAGGCCTGTGTGAGTGTCCTTGATGGATTGTCAGACTATGATAGGCCTGTGTGAGTATCCCTGATGGATTGTTGGACCATGATAGGCCTGTGTGAGTATCCCTGATGGATTGTTGGACTATGATAGGCCTGTGTGAGTATCCCTGATGGATTGTTGGACTATGATAGGCCTGTGTGAGTGTCCGTGATGGATTGTTGGACTATGATAGGCCTGTGTGAGTATCCCTGATGGATTGTTGGACCATGATAGGCCTGTGTGAGTATCCCTGATGGATTGTTGGACTATGATAGGCCTGTGTGAGTATCCCTGATGGATTGTTGGACTATGATAGGCCTGTGTGAGTATCCCTGATGGATTGTTGGACTATGATAGGCCTGTGTGAGTGTCCGTGATGGATTGTTGGACCATGATAGGCCTGTGTGAGTGTCCGTGATGGATTGTTGGACCATGATAGGCCTGTGTGAGTGTCCGTGATGGATTGTTGGACTATGATAGGCCTGTGTGAGTATCCCTGATGGATTGTTGGACCATGATAGGCCTGTGTGAGTATCCCTGATGGATTGTTGGACTATGATAGGCCTGTGTGAGTGTCCTTGATGGATTGTTGGACTATGATAGGCCTGTGTGAGTGTCCCTGATGGATTGTCAGACTATGATAGGCCTGTGTGAGTATCCCTGATGTATTGTTGGACTATGATAGGCCTGTGTGAGTGTCCCTGTGGATTCTTGGACTGTGATGGACTGTGTGAGCGTCTGGATTGATTGTTGGACTATGATAGGCCTGTGTGAGTGTCCCTGATGGATTGTTGGACTTGGATAGGCCTGTGTGAGTGTCCCTGTGGATTGTTGGACTATGATAGCCCTGTGTGAGTGTCCCTGATGGATTGTCAGACTATGATAGGCCTGTGTGAGCGTCCGTGATGGATTGTTGGACTATGATAGGCCTGTGTGAGTATCCCTGGTGGATTTATGGACTATGATAGGCCTGTGTGAGTGTCCTTGATGGATTGTCAGACTATGATAGGCCTGTGCGGGTATCCCTGATGGATTGTTGGACTATGATAGGCCTGTGTGAGAATCCCTGATGGATTGTTGGACTATGATAGGCCTGTGTGAGTGTCCCTGATGGATTGTCAGACTATGATAGGCCTGTGTGAGTGTCCTTGATGGATTGTCAAACTATGATAGGCCTGTGTGAGTGTCCCTGATGGATTGTCAGACTATGATAGGCCTGTGTGAGTATCCCTGATGGATTGTTGGACTATGATAGGCCTGTGTGAGTGTCCCTGTGGATTCTTGGACTGTGATGGACTGTGTGAGCGTCTGGATTGATTGTTGGACTATGATAGGCCTGTGTGAGTGTCCCTGATGGATTGTTGGACTTGGATAGGCCTGTGTGAGTGTCCCTGTGGATTGTTGGACTATGATAGCCCTGTGTGAGTGTCCCTGATGGATTGTCAGACTATGATAGGCCTGTGTGAGCGTCCGTGATGGATTGTTGGACTATGATAGGCCTGTGTGAGTATCCCTGGTGGATTTATGGACTATGATAGGCCTGTGTGAGTGTCCTTGATGGATTGTCAGACTATGATAGGCCTGTGCGGGTATCCCTGATGGATTGTTGGACTATGATAGGCCTGTGTGAGAATCCCTGATGGATTGTTGGACTATGATAGGCCTGTGTGAGTGTCCCTGATGGATTGTCAGACTATGATAAGCCTGTGCGAGTATCCCTGATGGATTGTTGGACTATGATAGGCCTGTGCGAGTATCCCTGATGGATTGTCAGACTATGATAGGCCTGTGTGAGTATCCCTGATGGATTGTTGGACTATGATAGGCCTGTGCGAGTATCCTGATGGATTGTTGGACTATGATAGGCCTGTGTGAGTGTCCCTGATGGATTGTCAGACTATGATAGGCCTGTGTGAATGTCCCTGATGGATTGTTGGACTATTATAGGCCTGTGTGAGTGTCCCTGATGGATTGTCAGACTATGATAGGCCTGTGTGAGTGTCCCTGATAAAATGCTGGATGTGAAGAAAGGGCTTCATGAGTCTCAAACCTTTCTTCTTGCAGTGAGTGTTCTGGATGTTCTGTTACAAGCAACTCCCAAACAGGAGCAGAAAGCCAGAGAGTTCTTCACCCTCACTCCCATCAAAGTTCTACTTGATTGGCTCCACCTCAATCCTCATGCATTACGTAAACCACAGCTGACTGAGTCAAGGTATTAACATTGTATTCACATATTCACCAATTGCAATAACAACCAAAAGCATGAATATATAGTGACATAGTTGCATTAATAAAGGGACAAAGTTTTACCTGGTCCTTATGTCATGACAGGTTCACCACACATGGGCGGCCACAATAATATGTATAACAAGGGTAAAGTGGACAATGAGTGGACACAGCGCTAGATTTAGACTTTGCTTCCCACCATGTTGAACAGTGTCAAGTGTGGTCAGTTTGAGCAAGATGTTGTAACAGTCACCACCCATATATGATGTTGTCTTTGTTCTTGGTCAACTTGTAAAATACTTTCAAGAAAAACACAGCTTACACAAGTTGTGAGGATGTCCAGTTCAGTCACAGCAGCCATGGTGAACACATAACGCTGCACAGTTACCTTCACAAGCTAACATGCTTTTGTTAACACGTGTGTCTTTGTGAGCAATATTCATTCCCATCCTTGTCAACCACCATCATAGGGATTTTGCAGTAGGGGATTTGAAAGTCAACATGACTTCACCACCAAGTGTTGAGGTTGTAGGGAGCGAGTCATGCTGTAATCTGTAATTGTATTATAAAATACAAAATTCTTTAAGAATCCCAAACTCAATGTGAAATGAATGCTGAAAATATTTATTTATTCAGTTGCGTAATCTTATATTCAGCAAAACGCCCATAAATGTTATTTTGAAACACAATTGTCATGCCCATTTTCGCTCACTTGTTGTGGATGATCATTGCTTATCGATGAAATAGATCTATAGATGTAATGAGTGGGACACAATTATTATAGTGAAAATAAGATCATCATCATGTACTTCGCAGAAACATGATCATATCTCGCTGTTCAACGGCTCTTCAGGTGTAATGAAAACTTTAACTTAACTAGTATTTGTAGCGTCATAATGCCTAAGATGTAACAGTGACAATAGAGGGATATATATATATATCACCAAAAGTTCAAATTAAACATAATGATATATGTGCATGTGGCGTGATGAATCATCTTCTACCGTTTCCGGGTCACGGGAACATGCAAGGCCAAACAGACTTAATAATGCAGCAATTATGACTGATATTGATAACTGATACTATGTTGTGATTTGTGTTTATTCTGTATGTGACAGGTGAAATATTTTCAAATTTACTGTAATTGTTTTGTAATAAAAGAGTATCAGCAGACTACCCGGGTCTGTGACATCACATCCGGTGACCTTTTGCACTTACTGAAATATTGCTGTCAGGATTCAACATCTTTATGTTTGTTGTTCTCTCCTTATATTAAATGGAAAATTACAAATGAAAAACTCTTCAATTTAGAAGATCGTCAACTTTTGCCATGGCATGTATATGAAGGCAATGTAAACTTTGTTGGTATTAAAATAGCATTATTTTCTAAATCAGTTAGTGCAAATTTAACGATTTATACAGGTTCCTGATATGAAATGCATTCCCCATTCAATCAAGTAATTCAGGTATGTTCAAGGAAAATTATGAATTTTATGTTGTTTTTGTATCAACCTCTGTATGTTTGAAAATGTCAGGATATTTTTATACAATATTGTATATTTTTCTATTAAGCAAAAAAGTGTGAAATATTGGGGTCATGGACCCGGACATCGCTTTGGATGGTTCCTGGTCGTCAAGATCGGGAAGCCCATGTAGAGAGTGTCCTGCAATATGAATTGGGGCCAGTCAGCTCATTCTGTGCTTCATGTACTGGCGATTAAAAGCACTGAATGAGCTGAAGGCCAATAGGAGGTTAAAGCAACCGAGAGCCATGGGGATGTAGTTGTTGCTGAGCAATGAACATATTGTTGTGGACAAACATGTACTGGGTGTAAAAGATATACGATCTGTTCTCAAAAGAGTGACAGCATTACTGCTGTCTAAAGTGACACACTTTTTCAAAGACTATGGTAGATATGATAGGATTATGGTGTTCAGGGAGTAATGAATTGTCTGACAATTGATTTACACAGATGCAGTTGATGTATAACAGACATGCTGCAACTGAGTAGGTGACATTTCTCATCTGACACGGCTGATTATCAATGATCCTGTATGTGTCTACATGTATGGAAACCTACAATACTTTTTTGCAGTTTGTGGATAGGACTGGCTAAGCTTCTGAACAGCATCCAGTCAGTTGGAGACAAGGAAAATCCAACAGATATGTCAAAATGTGAGTAGCAAATGTGAGTCACCAACAGTTCGTGTGAACTTATGTCTGTACCCTACTTCCCTTGTCCCAAGCATCCCTGGCTTGGCCAAGAAGCCAGCTGAACAGGATCACACTTGAAGACGATTGTTTCTCCTCCTTTCACTAATTGGTTTGTCAGCTCACAGGGCCCGAAGGATCAAGGTGAGCTTTTTGGATACCATGGCATCCATCGTCCATCCGTCGTCCATACATCAACAATTTATTCAAATGACTTCTTCTTCTGAACCACAAATTGCAAATTAACGAAATTTGACTGAAAGCATCCCTAGGGTGCGAAATAGGGGTCCAACGACATTATTGCTTTAAACGACTTCTTCTCTGGAACTAAGAGATAGAAATCAACCATACTTGGTTGGAGGCATTCTCCGGTGGTGAGGACTCTAAATTGTACAAATGGTATGGCTGACCCCCTAAGGGGCTGAAGGGCGGGACCAAATAGGGGTATTTGGCTATATTGCTTTCACCAACTTCTTCTCTGGAACTTAGAGATATATATCAACCATATTTGGTTGGAAGCATTCTCCGGTGGTGAGAATTCCAAATTGTACGAATTGAAGGGCTGACCCCCCAAGGGGCTGAGGGGCAGGGCGAAATAGGGGTAACTTGGCGTTATTTCTTTGGACGACTTCCTCTCTGGAACTTTGTGATAGTTATCAACCATATTTGGTTGGAAGCATTCTCCAATGGTGGGGATTCCAAATGGAGAAGTAGAAGGGCTGAACCCTACCCCCACCCCCGGGGACTAAGGGGCGGGGCTAAAAAGAGTTTATAACTTGGACAGTTAAGATCCCCACCGTATAAACATATGTTGGTTGGTTGGTTTGTTGTTGAACGCTGCACTCAGCAATATTCCAGCTATATGACGACGATCTGTAAATAATCAAATCTGGACCAGACAATCCAGTGATTAATATCATGAGCATCGATCCACTCAAGTTGGATCGATGACATGCATCAACCAAGTCAGCGAGCCTGACCACCCGATCCTGTTAGTCTCCTTTTACGGCAAGCATGGGTTGCTGAAGACCTATTCTACCCCAGATCTTCACGGGTCTATAACCATATGTACCCAATATGTAACCAATTGAGAATATAATGAGAGGAATGCAGGTGTTAATAAAGAAGCCGCTGTTTGGTTTCGCTCCTGGTGCTGCTCTGTTGTGTACAAGAAAATTTTACAAGTTAGTTATAAGACAGGCGATGGAAAATCTGTCCAAAATTAGTGGTCCCAAGTGACATACAGTGATCCCTCGCTGGTCAATTTTGAGCACGTGACCTCAGGCAGCCAATCAAATTATAGCTGTGATACCAAGCTCGTGTTTGATAAATTTCAGAAGTTGGCAAAAAAGATTTTTTGTTAAATGGTGTTGTATCTGAACGTTTTAAGCAGGAAATCACGATATATATTAAAAATATGGAACTTCGTGAATGTATCGTGCTAGGTTACGAGCGGTGACAAAGATTTTTCATGCATAAATTTTTGCATTAAACATTGTGTCCGAGCCGAGAATTCAAGGCGACGAAAGCCGAGATGTCATTTGACTTACATTACAAGCGATCGCACGAAACGATGGAAATAATAACTTAGATGTAAGTTTGATTACTTTTAGATATATTTTTGTTGATTTTATTTATCACTTTGTATAATATATTTAAAGATTTGCTTAAAACGTCTTTATTTTGCTCTTTGACATGTTCGATGCGGACCTGTTGTCGAAATGTGTGTCCGAGAATTTTATTTTCAATAACATTGTGGGAAATAGTGAATAATTTTTTAATTTATCGATCAAAAATGATAAATTGAAATGGAATACGTATTTCAGACATTGTGAAATGTGACAGATTTAATAAATGAATGATATACAGGTAGATCTAGGTCCATAAAAATATATACTATTTTGACGTGACGTGAGATAAACACATATTGATGATTTGAGATTTGCCGAGCGCGCTCCCCCGCCTCGGCCTCGGTTAAACGGCTCATCGTCTATAACGCCCACCAATTATTTGGACCCCATTGGTAGCTTTGTAGCGAGGGACCACTGTATGTTCAAGTTTCTTTATTCCCCCTGATATGCTACAGGGGGGATATGGTAGTCAAGTTTGTCTGCCCGTCCATAATCATTTTTGTCCGGATTATATATCTAAGACAAACAGGTGTTCTTTCATGAAACTTTGCCAGGTTGTCAACTGGTGCTTTCGGATTTTTAGGGATTTTTCCGTTTTTGTGTCTCCAAAACTTATAGGTATTCTTTCATGAAACCTTGCATAGACAAGGAGGAGACATAAAGAATTAAAGATGACTATAGATAAGTATTGTTGAGGTGTGCTGTCACCTGATTTAGTCAAGTCAAAATGGTTTATGATACATGATTCTGGGGGTAGTCAAGAAAAGATGGGGATGGGGCTCCTCTTAAAATGAAATTATTAGGAGAATGTATTGAGGCAAATGCATCAAGGTGATAACATTTTGTTTGTATTTTCCCTCAGTTGATGATATCCCGTTGCCAGAAGACTGTGATCTCCGCTGCTTTCAGCCAATAGAGAAAGCCCACAGGTAGGACATAATTCATGTTCCCCAGTTTGTTACAGACCATACCACAGTGTTTGCATTGGGTCCTAAAAGAAAGGGGTCCCATTGCATGTGGTAGCTGCGATCCCAAAAATCGTGAAGCGTTCTAAGGGTATTTGGGGGCATGCCCCCGAGGAATTTGTTTTAAATGTTTTAAATGTTTTAAAATGGTGTACTTTAGGCCATTCTGAGCACAAATAAACTGCCTGGTTAAAATCTGTATGTGTCTGTTCTTATGTGTGTATATTTTTAACCTCATAACCATATTCTTCATATTTAATAGTGAACACAAGTTACTACCATCCTAGCATTTCTTCATAGAGTTGAGGACTGCCTTGTGGTCTAGTGGTAGAGCGTCCGCCCGAAGAGCGGAAGGTTCTGGGTTCAATCCCCGGCCGCATCATACCAAAAGACGTTAAAAGATGGTACTTGTTGTTACCCTGTCAAGGGCTCGGCATTAAGGGGTATTGATGTTAAATTGCAGCATGGTATCTCAGTGGGCTAGTTCTATTAATTGTCATCAGTAATCACGAAAAAACAACCTACCTCAGTCTTTCAAGTTTAAGCTACCATCAAACGCATCAAATTAATTTCAGCCATTACAAAAACATAAGTCAGACATGGTCGCTCATGTTTCGGGAATCGTATTGAATTTAATAACTGTTTGAGATATCATTACTTATTATTGCATGCATGCTTGTGTGTCAATATCAATAAAGCTATATTTCAGTAACATCAAATAATTGTATCATTTTAATATCAAAAAGTTACAGTTAGATCCAGTGATTGGCTTAAAGTGTCTACTGGTGCTGACTTCATAAAAAAATGTGTGGTTCATTCCGTTTACAATTTTTAATCCACTTATGTACAGTAATACAATTTCTTAAAAAATAACATACACGTAAACCCCTGCCTGAACATTTTAGTGGGTAATTACATTCTTCTAAATACTGTCACTGCCTATATTTGGTGTTAAATCACATTCTTCTTTCTCAAACTTTTGCCATCTTCTGCCAGCATTTCTGGAAGTAACAATGACAAAATATTGTTATGATTGCAATTGGCTTAACTCTCTGTTTCCGTTTTCTACCAATCAGCAATTCCGTTACAGACATGACATCGAAAAGAAAAGTGATCGGATGCATTCTTGTCAATTCACTTTTCAGATGTGAGCAAAACGTTAAACAAAACAACAAATAGTTATGCGTGAAGTAAACATTTTTAAGATTAAAATAGAATTTCTAACAAGTGTCGTGGGTGCATGTAGTTTTTTTTTTGCGTCATTGCAATTTTTTGCATATGGCTGGGGTAAACACAAACTCTGATACTAGTATGTATTTTAATCCTTCTTGGTATCACATGCATCAGGATTGCTTTGACATGAAGTTTATCCCGACATGAAGTTTATCCCCATCATAACCGGAACCGCCTTCATAGTCTAGTGGTAGAGCATGACCGCATCATACAAAAAGACAATAAAAGATGATGCTTGTTGTTACCGTAGCTGGCAGCATTAAGAGGCTAAAAGTAGGACTGGTCAGCTTGGTGTGTGTGAGTGGGGTGTTAATGTTAAACTGTGGTATCTCAGTGTGCAGAGAGAGAGAGAGAGAGAAGAGAAAAGATGTTATATCTACTGGCCTAGCCGCTTCAGTCAGGATGTCAAAATACATGCGATCGATTTCTCCCATACAAGATTTCATAGCGGCGAACATGCATCAGCGGAGCTTAGACTGAGATGGGATCTTGTCTCTAAGAATCAGCTACCAGGTCAACCAGACAGACAGTTTCACATCCCTCCACTCTCATCCGTCCTGGAATCAACCCTAGCATTTCACAGCAACTGTTCCATCCTGACGATGATGGAATGTTCATAATCACTATCTCAGAGATTTCTCCACACAAGGTGTTGCTGGAATTCACCAATTTAGACCATTAGTAGTTAGAAGATAGACCTTCCTACAAGTACTCACCCACTATCAAGCAGATTCACTGTCCCATAACCAATGACCATAACATATTCCCCTGTTTTAATACGTAATTCAGAGCATGAATGAAAACAATTGTGTTGACTTTATGACCTTCTCTTAACACTATAATTGTTAAAAGTATGTGGGGAAAAATATTTTCCTTTGCGAACTTGACTAAATCAACGAAATCTATAAGATTTACTCTTCTCTTTAAAAGGAGGTGGTACCCCCGATGAAAAAGGTTTATCATGTTTCTAAGGAGTAATTAAAATTGATCTGAATCATGCCCACAGGTGGAACCCACCACCTACCGTGGGATTCAAGCAATTAGTCAGGTAAAATGTGTATTTTTAGAATAAAAATATGATTTTTGCTTATCCTGATTCAAACGCTATAGCGCCCACCCAGCCGTGCCTTCTTCGCCAGTGATTCGGACATAGGGTAAGAGAATGAAAGAGTGACGAATCTACCAGCTTGGTCAGGTGGTTCCAGTGCTTCTGCGCGTCTCAAGGGGTGCGTTTGGGTGAGCTGTTTTTCTGTTCTCTGGGAACACAGTTCAGGAAGTTCAGCTATAGTGGAGCGGCTAAGCAGAGAAAATGTGCCTTTTATGATAAAAGAACTTTTATCATTAAATGCCAAGCGAACATTTTCAGATATGGAGGCACACAAAATAATTTCATTTTGTGCATGCGCAGTAGGTAAAGAAAATTTTGCCTTTCCTGGCCACTGTTTTAGCTTTGTAACTACCAAACATGCACTAAAAGTTTTATAAGAAAAAAATACTGATCCACATACTGGTTAAAAGTGTTGAAAATAAAATAGTCATTTTTATGAAAACTGGCCCTCACACCAACAAAGTCCTTTGTATTTAAGTGAGGACTGTTTGCACTTGCATCGGTTGTTACATCCCTTTCTGCAGCCAAAAGAGACCAACTCTTGACAAGATTTTGATGCGTGGTGTAATGTCATCCAGTGGGGAACACTGACCACTTTCCTTCTGTATCCAGCCACAGTCAGTTGGAGATGGGAGTTCAGGTTGTGGATTAAGTGACTGACCATATATGACCTGCCTGGTAAGCTGCCCTTTTGACATGCTGGACAAGAGTTGCATTCGTTGGATGGCATGAATTGAGTTTTTCATGGCGAACAGTCTTTCTGGATTGATCAACATTCATGTCAAAGGCTTGTCCTGTCATACATCAATATTATGAACTTCTCAGTGATGTTCATAGCAGCATCTGTGATGGTTCCAGGAGCACAAGACAGAGCGACTAGAGCCTGCGTGACCCCTGGAAAGACTTGCCATCTAGTCCAGGCCATCTTCGTACCATGTCTTGAAAAGGCTGAGACAGTATCACATCCTGTCAGCATGAAACATTGGAAAAGCACATGATTTCAAGACATGCTTATATTTCATGAGTCTAAAAGGCTAGCCACAGTTTCGAATGAATTGGCAAGCTGATCTGGGAAACCATAACTGCAAGCACTACAACATCTGTATCTACTGTTCGCATCATAATCTTGTAATGGCCATATTTTGCAGCATGCGCAGTGTGAATTAAGCATCTTCGGCTTCTTCGTGGTTGCAAGTGAAGACAGATCATGTTGCTGAGGAACACTCAGTACCTGTTCTGCAACCAGTTTACACTATTTGGAAAAGAGAGCGATACTTCAGGATAAGCAAAATTGATACTTTTTCTCTGAAAAATACATGTTATTGTTGTTGTTAAAATTATTCCTGAAAAAATAATAGTTTTAGATACAATTCCTTCCAATCACTGCATCAAAGTTCTGTGAAATAATGCATTTGGGTATACACCGAAATGAATGTAAATATTATTGAATGAAAGTTTAATTAAACTTGATGAAATAGATTATATGGATAACAAACATGAGTCCAGATATACAATTAAACACTTTTTATTACCGATGGTGTAATGACAGGATTAACTTGTGTAATTCAATATGGATTTGTTGATGTTCTATTTCCGATGACAGATCATGACGAGTCGTAGTTGTAGGTTGGGGGTCTGGCTTATCTACTGCACATAACATTTTGATACAGATTTCAAGGACCAACTTGATACCTCGGCTTATCTATTAGATCGGCTTATCTACGGTCATATACAGTACCCATTCACGGCAGCTTTGAGGTCATCATTGTCGTCACAGTTTTTTCCAGGAGTTCTTTCAGTTTAGGAAACAGGTGGGAATCACTTGGTGCCAGGTCTGGTGAGTATGGAGGGTGAGGAAGCTCTTCGAACCCACATTGTCGTACAGCAGCCTTTGCAAGTCAAGAAGTGTGAGAAGAAGCATTGTCATGAAGGAGTAGAACTCCAGCAGTCAGCATTCCTCGCCGCTTTTCTTTGAAATAATCTCTCAGGCGATGAAGCAAATCAGCATAGTAGGCACGGGTAATCGTCTTTTGACTTTCTATGTAATCAACAAGAATCACACCCTTTGCATCCCAGAATACAGTGGCCATAACTTTCTTCACTGATCTTCAAGACTTGAATTTCTTCGGTGCCAGAGAAGTGGAATGGTGTCAGCCTTAAACATAGCTGCCCAACATTTAACAGTGGAATAGCTAGGGCACTTGTCTCCATACACTTCTGTCATAAAGTCATGATTTTCTTGGGGAGCACTTTTCTCTGAAGTGAAAAACTTGATGACTGCTTGGTACTTGTTCTTTTCCATTTCTGTGTCCATTTGGACCCCTATCACGTTACACTGGCAACAAGCAGACATACAAATGGCCTCAACAGACCAAATACACTTGCAATGAACTGGTCAAACAATGTACTACATTGACAAGTTCACTTTGTTATGGCCCATAGTTGAAAGTTGGTCAGGCTGAGAACATTTTGACCAGCCCTCATACTTCCTTAGCTGTTCTTTATTCTCATTTTCTGTTCTCAAGAAGTGATTGCGATTTACTTTCGCCTGTAGACGATGAGGTGGACAGTTTCTCCGTCTTTTCATTTGTGTCCATCGGCTCGGAATCGTGTCCACCGTCACTATTATTAATTACAATGCAACTGTCATCATTCTTTTCAGTCACAACTTTTGGTGGAACGATCATGTTTTTGCTGTGCGAAGGTGAAAAAGAACATTGATAGAATGTCAAGTAAAGCAGAACGGTCTTCGCATGTCGGCTAAAATCGATCAAACTGCACACAGTATTATCATTTAGGGTAACTGAATCCTCTCACCGCTGCATGGAGCCATCAAATTTTCATGGACACAGACAATAAATGCAGTAATATGAATTCCATTGCAATCAGGAAGCTGGTGACCGGAAAAACAGTGGAGCAAATGTCAATCAAGTTAATTAATCGTAAAAAAACATGAGTATCGGAAGCATTTTTTAGGGTCAGTCGACTAGTCGGAAGAAGAAGGGTTTTTTTTAAAAGGCTTTCAACAGGGTTCAAAATACCCCAAGTACTTGTGCCATATTAAGTCAGTTGACATTAGTCGCATCAGAAATAATTTATTGTCGACAGTATAATCTTTTTAGGTAGCCAAGTGGCGAACAGTAGATAAATTTAGGTCGCCAGTGTAGATTCAAGTCGTGTTGGCGATCAAAATGATTGCTACTTTAAGGGCTACATACAACTGTAAACATGCATCATTCTTACATATTTTTCACCATATAGCATGTCTCCTGCCCAAAGTTTTCACATTTCTCTTCGTGATGAATTTCAGCAAACACTTTTCATTTGAAGGTTTGTAACTACTCATTGTAGTATTTGAAGTCCCTCATCAGCCAACTGTCCTGAGTCACAACTGTGATTTTTTTAATAGAACTGAACTTAAAATGAACAAAAATGGGATTAATTTGGCATTTTGCAGAAGACAAGCACAGATTTGCTCATCAATAATTACTGCCTAAATAGTGCAACATTTAAGATATGAAAATTCAAGTAGTTAGTCCATGCCTCCTTTGTGTTGACATCAGTCGTGTTGCACTTCACATTATCCAGCTGGGCGACACAACAGACTCCAGTGGTGATTATGATGCTAGAAGGTTTGAAATGTCCCCTGTCATGTGTAAAATAGGAGACTCACCAACCATGCCATAGGAGCTACCTGTCTTCTGATTGCCAGTTACTTTCACTTGTACAATCCAAGGTCACATCATTCTGATTAGGCAGAGAGTTGAAGGATTACAATATTTCATGCTATTATCCATCGGCCCAAGTTGGCGGTGGATATAGACACAGGCTCCGTCCGTCCGTCTGTCACGCTTCGTTTCTGGAGGAGAACATGGAAACCATAAGAGATAACTTTATACAACTTGGTACACACATTCACCATATGATGTAGATGTGTGTTTTGCTATTTTGGTTTCCCCTGCATTTTAAATATGTATTTTGACGTAATAAGCACCCAGGGTGCTCTCAAAATTAGAAATAGAAGGCTCTTATTAGAATCTTATTTTTGTGGAAAAAACAGAGTTGAAAGATAAATTTTGTGGTCTATGCTGACAGCCTGAAATGTTTGTATATGACATATATATTTTTCCAGAATTTAATTGCCCATGATTATGGGTGCATATAACACACGAGTGTGTATTATACGTGAATAAATAAGTCTTGTGTACATTGATCAATCCGAAGGGGTGCTAATTGGGATTGTTCACTAGCCAATATATTAGCAAATATCGTCTTGGGCGCTTATTAGACGGGGCGCTTATGACGTTGAATACATATATTATATATAAATTTTATTAATATGGACCAAGTCCCTGAATTGAATAAAAGCTGAACTGGAAAATCATTTTAGAGATTTTTCAGAAACTGGGTAAACACATTCACAATATAATGTATATATAACTTTCGCTATTTATTATTCCCCCAATTATTTTGTCTTATAAAAAAATTATATTTAGACTTGATCTCATTTTGACCTCAGTTCTGTTATGTACTGCTCCATGAAACTTGGTAAAAGTTTCAGGCTGCTTTAGAGTCTTTGTCATTTAAAGATTCTATATTATATTTTATTTTTTCAATTAATTGGCACACCTGTTGACACTGCAATAAACAAAGCTATAAAAGAATTCATAGTAGATGTATTGGAAATTCACCAGGTTTTGTACCTTATCTGTACCATGTACCTAACTCTTTTATTGAGATGTTAAACAGTAGCTCTTTTATTCAACCTTTTCTTCATTTGATTGCACAAGTCATTGTCTTCAAGATTGGACAGTGGGCGGGGTATATAGATGATTCCGTCTTCTTGTTTCAGTAGCTACAGTTTCAGTCGAGTACCAGTTGATGGCCTCCATCCCATGCTGCAGTTACAAATCAGATGTCACCGCTTACTTAATCATGGAAAATGGTTGGCCCAGCAAGTTGTAGGGTAAGTATTTAATAAGCCCATAGCTGTTGAAAAAATTACCACTGGTACCACGCTGTGCTTTCTCAAACCTATTAAACTCTCAAAAAGGATTTGTGGCAACACTTTCCAAAAAGGTATTTCCATGTTCACCATAGTAACTCTTTCAACACCAGTCAATCAGAAGCTTTTACTTCTGTGACACCGACTTCCCAGGGACTCTTTGGAGAGATAGATGAAACCTACATTTATCAAGGAAATTATCTGCTTGTAAAACATCTTTGCTACTACATGTTTTACACCATTTGAAAGGTATAATTGTAATGTTTATGAATATGAAAGTTATTAATGTAAATCTGGCTTCATTACCCATGTACTTCATTACCTGTGTGCTATTTGTTGTTCTTACTGTACATTTGGCTTCATCCAATTATCTATATGCTACTTGTTATCTATTACCTGTTGTTGACAATGTTAATCTGCTGCTTATCACAACATGTGATGCATATATACCTCTCATCACTTGGTTGTTGTCACTCCAGCTTGATAAATGTGTAAGAATCAACATCGAAAAGTCGCTATATGCAATAAACCAGAAGTTGTTATCCATGTTTTCTTTTGTCTTCTTATGAAAGTTATGTTTATCACATTATTTAAATAACACATTTACAACTTAATTAAGTTTGTTTTATAAAAAAATGTAAGGTAACTCATTCATATTGTCCATATTAACCACCAAGGAAGCAAACATTTTACGATTTTTGGCAAATATGATTTTTTAAATTAATTCAGCATTCCTCCTTAAAGCCCCACCCTGACTATAAATAGCCTGCAAGGTGCGGTGTTTCACTTTCGAACAGTGACTGACAATGTAAACACAACCGAGTGTCGGGAGAAGCTTTTTGAAAACCGTATGTAAACGAGATCACCACGTATGTAAACGAGATCACCATTGACCGTCAAACTTCGTATCAACTTGAATGACAAACCTTGGATACCACAAATGGCTCCATTACTAGATATAAGTCAACAAATTTTCTTTAATTTTATCATAAAAAATCGAATCGGTCATGTTTGGCGTCTGAATCAATCACAGTAGGCAGAGTTTATTTAGGGTTGTGCTATAAATAGCAAAGCACATGGCAATGTGTACATGTGACACATTCGATGCATTTGTCACCGTGTTTTATGGTGTATATCTTTACGACAGAACAGCAGCACATTAACAGTTTCGGTTAGATATCTAATGTAACAGTAACGATACATAAATACGAAAATGACGTCAGTTAGATAAGTATTAGCGACAAGATTCTTTCAGCTCAGTCCGAAAATTACAGATATTTGTTTTGTTTTGGTCACTTGCATTCAACAGTTAGATCCATACCACACAATAATCAGATTATATTTATAAAACTTAAATTATTACACAGATTTTTCAACTAGTATTTTGGAAGAGGCAGAGACACCTGAAGTTGCGCCAATATGTCTTAGCTTGACTACAATATATGAATATGTCACGTGTATCAACATAACAATGCACATAAGCAACTGATAAATAAGTAACAAATTAAACTAGATGTTTTGTCCTACATTAGGCCTCTCTAGATAATATTGTACTTACGATAAACGAAAAATCCAATACACATATTCCAAGAAAATTATTATTATGGATATCCTTTTCTTTCACATAGTTTTCACACTCAAAACTGTGTTTGATCATTAGATCCACATGTGTCCCTTGTATTTTTGTTTGGTGGATTTGGATACACATCGAGCACAAATTTTAAAGTACAATCTGGCATCACTTCCCTTTTGTCCACACCAATCTGCTGCCAAGTTTAATATCCATTTCTTCAAGTCCGAGTATCTATGATCTCTCCAAACAATTTTACTATTTAGCTCAGTCCAGAAGTATTTGTAGCGCTGTTTTCGAATCGACGAATTTCTGCAACATGGTGGCCGCACCATTCCCTAACTGCTATTGCCTGTGTGGTGTCACGTATGGTTGACAAAAGCTGTGTGGACAGACATATCCGCCTTGACCTGGTTCCACAATGAAATCTGGCTGTGACACTGATTCACTTATCCCAAGATTGGGCCCTGAATTTGTCAAAGTTTCTGTTGCACTTGCAAGGGTGGGACACCATCTTGTTGATTTGAGTTGTCAGTCGGAATGTTATTGAATTGAACTTTCTCCACGATGAAGTCATCAATGTAAAAATCAAAATGACCAAAGGCTCCCCTGATCATCGTGAACAACTCTCTGATGTTTTGTTGCTCATATTGAAGACAAGCAAACTTACAAAGTACTTGACAGTTAGCAGCAATCCATATCGGATGCGCTCACAGGGCGTTGTTGCTAGGAGATCATGTGGTCAGAAAGGGGGCAAACAAAAAGTTATAGAAAGTAATTAGAAGAAATCTGCAGTGCAATCCTAAAATACCATGTGCATAATCTTTTATTGTAATAGTATTCACGAAAAACTTTCTTTACTAAAAATGCAAATTAATTTATTAATTCATCCCGAGGTCATAACCCTGATCACGTGGGTGGGTATTTCGAAGGAATCTTGTGATGACGCCATGAATTAGGCTGTGTGTATTACATTGTTGCTCGTCATGGATGGAGAGAAAAAGAGCATCTGAGTGCGAGACCAAAAACGTGTTCATGCCAAAGTAGTTACAAAAGATGATGATGATCCTTGTAGACAGTGACCTGAATAATCTTGATGAAAATAATGTTGAAATCCATGTTCATGCACACATGGACATGACAAATATTTATCTGAACATCGTTTCGAAGTATGTGAGGCTGTCTGTGTTTTGTCTAAGTTCCCCATCTCTATTCTGACGTGAAATAATATTAAGTTTTCGTGTCGCACTTTTTCATGACGCTATGAAATTGGGCACTGATCTAATAAATAAATTCTACTAGACTGAGATCTACCATTGCACAGTCATAAAAGAACCATGTCAACTTTATCTTACTTCAGTTGTTTATTTAAAAAAGATTTCCGAAGCAAAATGACTCGATCTACGTAAAAAATTCTAGACTAAAACACTGCTACTGGGCAATGAAAACGTGAAGGAAACGATAAAAACTACTTTCATCACTTGAAAATATTTTGACCATAACTAGGATTTTCACAATCGTTGTCATCCAGATTCCAGATGAAGGCAAGACGAACACAGCGAAAAAAAACCCCTGTTGAAATCACTGATTGCCCTGTATATTGTGGGAAATGCTATTCATAAACTGCAAGTATACCGTGCACAACAGGATTACGTTTGGTGCTGTTATTCATATTAGGGTGTTCTGTTCATAAACACTGCTCTTATTCATCCCGACAAACGTATTTCGTTCTCGTCAAGAGGATAGCTCAGAACTAATTTGTATGTTGCACTGGACTGGAAACATAAATCATTGACATTCCACAGTAACATATTTTGAAGATGTGAAGACGACATGGCAGATAAGTTTTGAAACCAAAGACCTACCCGTTTGTTGAAAAGTCTTGGAATCGTTTGATGAATATTTATTACCATTAAAACTTATGTCCTTGTTGTGAAACGCTCACGTGGGTGGATGTTTACATGACTTCACCTGTTAATGCATTGACCTGTCAGATCACTCGTATAAGTTCCACCCACTCAGAGTGTGGTAGTTCCTACTGCAAATGCCACTTTATTGCATCTACTGCTTACCTTTTGACAGAAACAAAGTTCTGCGAGGTCTAGGCTGAAGAACAAGTTGTTCCAATCAAGTATGGAGCCGACCCTACACAGCTGCCAAGTGATCAAAAGGAAGTGTTGACACGGGGCAGGCATGTTGTGTATAATTTTGGTCTCAAACTTTTGGCTTAATTTGTGGTTGCGCTCTGCTTCCACCTTAATTTCTTCTGCTACGGGCGGAGTATGTGTTTATATATTTATTATGCTTGTATTTGTGTAATAATGTGTATTAATTGTAGGGGAAGAGACTTTTGTACTTTTTCTTTACGTTTGTTGTTCGTATCTGCAATCTTGAATTTCATAACGTGTGTCTCGTTTTTCTCGAGTCATTTTCTTTTCAGTTGCTGTCTTGGTAGTTTATTAAAAAATATTTACCTTTAGCTGCTAGTTGGTTTAGCAAGTGTTTAAAGCTTGTTATTTGATACAATAAATTCTGTGTCCCCGATTTAAACCTTGGTTTATTTCTTGTATTTTGCAAATCTTTCTACAAGATGTCAACCTTTTCATGTTTAATTTATGCTTGCTCGTTACCATGGTAAAATGTCTGCTAAGGATTCTCACCCACGATGTCTGGATTGTACTCAAGTTTGTGCACCAGAATTAAAAGCTTTACAAGATAAAGACAGGTATCACGAAAGCGTATTGCTCAGCAGTCCCTAGGGCATCCTACAAGGACTTGCAGGATTCATCCCTCACGAATCAGTCCTCTACTTTGGGTTTGACTTTACCCAGCATCCAGGTCCACATTCGTAGAAGCACATCTACAGGACCAGACAGCTTCAGGGCTGTGGTCCAAGGCACAGCACACATGGCATATCAACAACCTCGAGTTGGAGGTGCGCATTCTGGCAAAATCACATTGGCAGGAGCGTCTCCGGAACACTCAACTCACCATCTCCACTGACAACAGCACGGTGGTTTGGTGACTGTGCAACCAAGGGACAGCACACTCTCACTTTAGTCCAGCACATCCCCAGGTGTCGGAACATTCTGGCAGATGCTTTATCCAAGCCGACTGAGTGGAAACTTCATCCATCAGCAGTTGGGTCTCTCCAATTCCGGATCTACAGGCATCGGTGGTAGCCACAGTCAGCATCACCTGGGAAGGACTTAGAGCGTATGCTTTTCTGCCGCCTTTATTCCTTCCCAGGTTGATACAAAGGATAAGAGCAACTAAGAGCCTCACTCTGATTTTGGTTGTGCCCTGGTGGCCGGCGAGGGGGTAGTTCATACACCACAGAAGTCTTGCAGAAAATGACCCACTAGCCCTGCCAGAGTGGTCGAACTTACTC